GGCTGACAGTGAATGATGATGATTGATTGAACCTTTTCAGCATTAATCTTAATAGTTCGTCTGTTGTCCCGTTGATGTCTACAGCCCAGTTGAGCAGCATCGAACTATATGTAACAATATTCTCCCAGTTACAATCTGACTTGTTAGTACCATCCCAGGGTGTTCCAGGTTACTCACTATTTTATTGACCCCTTGCCATTGTTAAAGTGTTAGATAGTACTTTAAGTTTGATCTTAGATAACCATAGATTGCTGCATGATATGCCATGACTTTCTAGATTCAAGACATTATAGTATTCCACTGCATTTATCAGTTTTCAGTGAGTGAGCAATACCTGTTTCTTGTCTACAACCCGCCATTGTTAGGATGGAACAATCCCACTATTAAGCACATTGCTTATTCCCATGACTCATTGGAATCTACAGACACATGTTCAGTGGTTTAATTGTTGATCTACTGCTCTTTAGATGTACCTTGTGATGTTTACAAGAGTTATGAAGGCTTTCTCGTATTTTTGTTACAGTTTTAACGTGGAATAAAGTTAGTGTGGATACCGGAGCCTGACCTTTGGCCATATTTCTTCTTTGTTCTTCGGTTGAACTTTCTGGTTGAAATTAAGTTACCGCCCCCGTCCGGCTACACTTTTATGTAGGCCAGAACAGGGTATGTAGTTCGAAGTGCAGCCTGCATGTGGCAATTTGATAAGTGTGCACAGTATGATCTGACCTCGAAATCGGGTGGGTTGTTCACTCAGTATGTCAATTCCTTTCGAAGATTAAGGTGGAGAATTCTGGGATTCCTAAATGGTGAAAATTGAATGGGATATTGAGAATTACATGCAGGAGTACAAGGAGAAAGAGGGAATTGTGGTCAAGCGTGAAAAACTTGTACAAAATACCGGGTCTCAGAGCGCTTGCGAAACTCATTGCTCAATAGCTTTTGGGGCAAGTTTGGGCAGAGATTAAACATGCCGCAGACCGAGGTTGTTATTGAGCCCAGCAGGCTTTACAAGCTCTTGTTTGCTGATGATAAGGTTGTAAACAGTATTCAGGTTTTTCAGTGACTAAATTGCTGAGGTAAAGTTCTCTGCCAACGAAGAATTTGTGGAGCCTAATCCGCGATCAAATGTTGTGATCATGGCCTTCACGACCGCATACGCTCGACTCAAACTGTACCGTGTATTAGAAAAGTTGCAAGATCACATGCTCTATTTTGACACCGACAGTGTGATATACACTGAGCGGCCCAGAATGAATTCCCCACCTCTTGGTGATTTTTTGGGTGACTTTATCAGACAAAGTCAGTCCCAAAAAAGGTAATTACATTGACAGTTTTGTTCAGGTGGACCAAAAAATTAGACTTACAAGTTGGACACCAGGAAAATGGTCTGTAGAGTTCGAGGCTTCACGCTTAATTTCAGAAATAGTCAGAAGATCAATTTTGACACGGTAGTTAAAATGGTAAAAGATGCCAGTACAAACTCCTCACCATCGAGAATCCGCACCATATAACCAGGGATCCTAAAATGAAAATGATTCATACAAAGTCACTGTTCAAAGATTACAGGACCTGCTATAACAAGAGGGTAATGGTGGACGATTTCGACACTTTGCCCTATGAGTTACCAGAGGGCATAATGGGCCAGGTCGGCTTGCACTGTTCACATTAGATCAAAAAATGCCATGGCGACCACACCTTCTCAGAGTTATCTTGGCTCTAAATGTTCTCCTGTGTTTATTCG